CTCTTGAAATGTGAATGCGATTTAATGGCTTTCCCATTCATGCACTCAATGCTAAAGAGAGTTCTTGGACCTGTCTCACCCAAATACATAGTTTTTTCCAGCACTTCGAGCGACAGACTACACGAAGAGAATGCCCACCATGTATAACGTTCACCACGATGATATTTTGAATGAAGATCAGCCTTGACACCGCGCCATACCACTTTAGCTACACATGGCTCTATTTTAAAGAGAGCAGTAATAAACAATTTGAGATAAGGGAACCACGGTTTAAGTTGTAGACGATCTCTGTCGCGCAACATCTCGTTTAGAATTGAATATAAGCTTCGAGGCTTCATCTCCATGGTATAAAGATGGATAGCGGCCGATTCATCAGGGGAAAGGTCATCGGCCGGCTTCCTTGATGCATTCTTAGCAATCCAAACGTCACGAGGCAAATTACAAAAGATTGACTTAATTGATTCCGTAGCTTGTTCGAGAGAAACCAGCTTTGACTCTTGATAGTCTTCGAGCGGCTGTAGACTGGCTTCAGGTTCATCGCAAGTGTTCTCAATAAAACGAGGATTCCAGTCATTTGAATATTCTGATGTATCCATAATCGAACAAATACGGTTACGCTGGAAAAAAATGAGGTCTGTGTATTATTGAGATAACTTAAGAGCAACACGAGAGAAGGGCTTACAAGCATAAAAATGTGCGAAAAAAAGCGTTACTGTCAAGAAATCTCTCTTCTACCTCAGAAATCAGTATCGGTGTGGTGTCGGTGTTCGTGTAGATGTGGATGCAGGTGAAAGAGAGATCCAATCATCCATATACCTGCCTACCCCACGAAGACTCGCAGAAGATGAATCATCTCACACGTTGCTTCATAAGTAGAAAGCGGCAAAAACAACGACAACACTTCTAAGAATTCAAAATATTTCTCATATGGACCTTTGACTATGTCTTAATTTTTGCAGCTCTTCTTCAACGAGTTTGGTACTTACACGAAAGTGTAAAAATTGCATCTTCGACGGGGTGAAGACTTCTTCAGAAAGTTTCGGCTCAAAAAAAGTAGGAAATAGATGTTCGAGATTATCCCTAAATGGGTTGAAGATAACCTAAAAACTATTGATTTTCAGCGCTTTTCGGTGATTCCATGTGGTTCTATTTTATTTTCTATGATTTTCAGAACTCTCTTGTGATATTTCATTGAGTGAAAAGGATCTTGGTATATGTATGTTTATTTGATTCATACTTAGACCCACACCATTCAAAAAGTATGCCAAAAACAAAAAATCCAACTCTGCTAAGTTGTATAGTGCAACTATCTCTTCAGTTGAAAATCATTTAGAGCTCTCTCGCTTGTGAAATGATCGAGAAGTCTTTGAAATAAGAGCAATAAAATACTACAAAACTCACTGACGAACGAAGATTCCCAAGTGATCCATCGCTTTTAAGTCGGAACTATGCGCATGATGTAGGCTAACAGAGATATGAATATGCTGAAAAGGGTTCCGGCTGATAGCTTATTGCTGCCGAGATACTACATTTTTACGGTATTTTTAAGTCGAGTACCATGGTCTCCCTCAGAAACCTCAGTAAGATTGAATTTCGAATTTCGGTTTGAAACTTTGTATAGTGATAAGCCTTAACAAGAGTAGTTTATTATCAAAGTTTCAGGCCTCTCACTTGTTCCTATCCTAAAATACAGTTATGGTAAAAGCATTCTTATGCATCGCTCATAGAAACCGGCGGATTCCGAGATTCTTATCTCAGAATAGGAACAAGCGAGGGACCTGAAACTCTGACAATAAACTATTCTTGTTAAGGCCTATTACTATACAAAGTTTCAAACCGAAATTCGAAATTCAGTCTTTCTGAGGTTCTTGAGGGGGACCATGGCACTCTACTAACAATACCGTAAAAATGCAGCATCATCGACAGCAATAAGCTATCAGCCGGAACTCTTTTCAGCATATTCAAATCTCATTAGGGCCTACATCATGTACATAGTCTCGACTTAATAGCAATGGATCACTTGGAGACCTTCCCTCGTTAGAGGGAATCGTGAAATTAATTTTGACATTGAAAATCAAGTGTTTCTATGCCATGAGATCCTATGAGAAAACATATATGCAAAATGTGCAAGGATTGGTGACACATATTTTCGAATGTATGCTAGTCATATTCCCCATGTTACAAACCTATACTGAACCTAAACAGACTTTGACGACTGAGACTCTCCAAAGATCCTTTCGAATTATGAGTGTTTCAAGAAAACTCTCTAAAGCCCTCAAAAAAGATTTAAAAATCTGTGAAACATGGTACACTCGATTGTACAACACTTGGGCTACTCAGCCATGTATGACGCTTGAGAGCGACTAGTCTCAACTATAATTGGAAGAACGATCTCGGAATGACAGCAAAAAAACAGTAAAAAATGAATCAGGTGTGTGGGTGGGTGTGCAAAGAAAGTCACCTACACCATTATCCTTATCCTTTTAGTGTGTTGTGAGGGTCGATTGTGTAACAAATAATCTGAGTTTTTCCCATTTTGTCAACTATCTTGCAAGAATTTAGAAAATTTATGGAATCAGCTTTCCACTGTAGTTCTAGCAGAACGCACGGAGTATTTTGAGTAATACCATAGTATTACTTTCTGATAAATGGGAACAAATCCGTGAAATATTTTTGGAGCAAAAGTTAGAACGTACGGCTTAGAACGCGATAATAAATCGTCTGAACTCCCAGTCTTGTGAATATTGCTTTTACTACATGATAATACAAAAATTGTAGTTTTCCTTTCTGCTGAATATGTATTATCTCAAAACTCCATTTTAATTTTATTTAAAGCTCAGAGCCCTTCCTCCAATGCTTCGTAATGCTTTCCAATGTGTTATTTTCACACTTTTCACAGGAATACCCTTCTACTTCTCAAACTTCTCCAAAAACGTTCGAAATACTTTTTCTATTCTACAAAGGTTCCTGCAAAAAACTAACTTGATAAGTTCAAAACGTTTTTCAAATTTCTTGGCAAATCACTAAGTCTTAGACATATGTAGCTTAACGCTTCCTTTCCAGTATTTGAAAATTCAACAAAAAGATCATGCTCTATGCACGCAATATATATCATCCACGGATGAAAAGAAGGATAAGGGCGTGGAAGAAAAGCAAGTGCATGCATAAGAAACACAAACCATAAAGTTAAGATGTACAAGCACTTGAGCTCATCAAAGTGCATCATGTTCTACCGAAAGATGCATCCTGATTTCTTGATCTTTTTGACAAGATTATTAAGCAATTCGTGTGTATGAGAAAAATGAATTACCGAGGTTCGCTTCATCACGTCTTAACAAACAGCGTATATCGTTCAAGTTAAGTGACAGATGCGTATTTGTAGAGAATAAAATGAGGAATTTTTCAAAAAATTGTCCCGTTACGCTGAAGGACTGCTGAGAAACATTCAAAGTACTGAGAGGTACCTTCTTTTATTAGCCTTCCGTTCGTTCATCAGTTTGAACAGTAGTAATGGAGAGACAGACAAAAGAGGATGTGAGGGTAAGAGTGTGCTACTGCAGTTCTGTGTAGGATCTTCTATTCACTTATTCTCACATGCAGTCACGCGCCCATCCACTCTGACCACTTTTGAGTTTCTCAAACCAGCATAACAAAGTCTCATATTTTCGATAGATATCTAATTCGTGTCTGCCTTTGCACCACGTGTACTCCAGGGTGATCATGTGTGTCACTAATACCCGTGTGGATGGAGGAGTCGATAAGTCTCTCTGGGTACAGATTGAACTGAATATTTCGAAAAGACGCGTATGTCCATGAACAATGACGAAGACTCTCGAACAAATATAAGCCCTTTCATGCTAGTCTGAGAGAGTGTGGATGTGGGTGTTAGTTCTCTTCACCCACATCCCACCCCTGGTGCGTGGGTGAAGAAAAGAACTTTTCCCTCGCCCACTGACAGACGGACCCAACCTCGCTCTCCAATACTTTTTCGAAGTTTTGTCTAGATTTTCAACAATACATGCAGATCGACTACACGTCTTTGGTCGCAGTCTAACGACATGTTCTAATTTAGAAGGTTCCTAGAAAAAATTATATTGTAGTTTGAAAGTTTGAATAGAAGCTATGAGATCTGTTTTTGTTTGAAAATGAATTTTTTTCTTACCGATGAATAGCGCGTAGAACAGACAATAATAGTGTTTACTTTGTTTGCGCACGTTTTTTATAGAACAAGCGACAAGCACATTACTTTTCGTGCTTTGATATATCCGGAAGCTCCTATTTGCATATTTCTTCGATGTTTCGAACGAAGAAACGGGCAAGATGAGAAAATCTTGAAGTTATCGCAACTATTTTCGTTTTATGATAGCAGAGATAAATAACGCTGCATTTGTGCGACACCAATATGCTGACATTGTTGAAAGAGCTTCTTTTGCAAAGAACCAGCTGTGCAGTTTGAGTGCGTGTTTTCTCTTGATCAACACCCACACTCTTCTATTCACCACTCTCTCACTTCATTTCAATTTGTATTTTCTGCTATCTGATAGTGGAATCTAGTACTGCATTCTTTTGCATCTCCTTCTCCTTCTTCCTCGATAATAGAAGATCCCTCTGTAGGGTTTGAGTATGAGCGTGAATGTGGGTGTTGATCAGTGCTACATCCTCATCCACTCTGCTATTTTTTTTTAGAGAAATATTTTTATTCCAAGATTTTTCATCAGTGCTCATACGTGAATTTTTCAAAAATATTGATCCTTTGACAAGGATTGTTTTCATTTTTGATGATACATTAGTTAGGCTTAGGGCTAATAATCACAGATACCACATAAGTGTTTATTGAAAAAACAAAATGTCATACCTACATGAAGAGTAAAAACGGTTCACTGTGTGTAGGTGCGAAGGTATTTGGTCTTTTCGCAGACCTCACACTACACGCGCATAGACGTTAGAAATTATATTTGCTCATATTTATTCAACATTTGTGTCCTATTCCCAGATCGAAGCTAATCCGTCAGAATTCTATCGGAAGTAACATCGAATCTAGTGACGAGGAGTGCGATAGTCGAATTTGACTGGATACCAGGAACTTCTGATGAGATAGTATCGGTTTTCATCGAATTCCGCCAAAATCTGATTAAGTCTGGATCGGAATCCTGGTCATTGGATTGTTTGAGCTGGGCTATTTTGAGCTTCTGCTTCCAGAAAAGTAGACGAGGATGATTTGAAGGCAATGAAGCTTCTCCGATTGCGACTGCTTGCTTCTGATATTTAACTGCTTCCGAATATTTTCCCATTTTATAATGAACCCAAGCAATGTTGTTGTAAGAATCAGCTAATTTCGGCGGATTCAGATGTTGTATTTGTCGTCGAATTTCACGTCCTTTTTTCAAGAATGAAAGAGCTTTTGAGTAATCTTTCATCTTATTGTATACCACACCGAGGTTATTGTAAGAATCAGCTAAATTCGGATGATCCGATAGTTGTATTCGCTGTCGAATATCAAGTCCTTTTTTCAAGAATGAAAGTGCTTTCGAGTAATCTCCCATATTATCGTATATCAGACCAAAGTTATTGTAAGAATCAGCTAGATCAAGATGGTTTGATGGTAGTACTATATCTCGAATTTCTAGTGATTTTTGTTGAAACTGAAGCGCTTTCGAATATTTTCCCACATTGTTCAATACTAAACCAATGTCACTGTAAGAGCTGGCCAAATCTGGATGGTTTTGAGGGAGTTTATTCTGACGTATTTTGCACGCTTTGTCATAGAGTGAAAGTGCTTTTTTATACATTTCTAAGTTACAATACACGGAACCAATCTTACTGTAAGAATCAGCCAAATCGGCCTCATTGGTAGGCAATATTTTCTGACGAACTGCTAATCCTTTCTCGTACCATGAAATTGCTTGTGAATATTCTCCCAGATTAGCATATACGAGACCGATGCTTGTGTAAGACGCAGCTAAATGACGATCGTTGATGGCGGATTTTTTTTTGTATAGTTGAATTGAGTTTTGAAAATAAGAGATCGCTCCTGTGTAGTCACTCAGTTCCGTTTTAATCGTTCCAAGTTGATGATAAAGATTCCTTATTTCAAAGTCATCACTAGTTTGCTTCAATGGCATAGTGCACAAAATAAATCCTTTTTCAAAGTCGCATATTTTTTTAAGCAAATTGCCCAATCGATGGCATTCTGTTGGTCCATGGATTTCGTTTCTCATGAATTCGGTGAGAGAGCTCCAATAGCCGTCGTTATGTTTAACCATTGTGAGTTGCACTTGCCAAAATCGAGATTCTTTATCTATTTGTTGAATTCGTTCAATTCGAAAGACGCTGTGCATAGTAAATAGTACTGATTCTTGGCCTGAGCAATAATGCAAATCTCGAATATTTGCAAACGGAGTCGATGAAATCGATAGATCGACAGTGATCACAAATAACACTCCAACAGATTCTTGGTCCTCAGCTGCTTGCCTAGCGTAGGCAATAGAGATGTGACGATCTGGACTAGTTGATAAAAAGTGGTTGAATGAAACAAGACCGCCTACAAGTGATTGTAATTTTTTTAAATCACTTGTTGATAGTCCTTGACCACGATAGACAGTCAATAATTTTCTTTTGCCTTTCTTGAACTGTTCGGAGTGAAGTTTTTCTAATTGTTTATGAAGATCTTGAATGAAGAAGCCTAACTTGATGATCGCTTCAAAATCTAGAGTTTGCAAGGAGTTTTCAAGCATTGAGTAGAGAAAATGCGGCGCTGTATACCACCAGATGGGTGAATGTTGATGATATTGTTGTTCAAACTGTTCGATCTCCTGCTTCGGTAATTCATTACCATGCGAGTCGCAACAATAGGTGACAAATGCTTGAATTGATCGTTTATCATGTTTCATAGCTACAAGAATTTCTTTCAATAGAAGTGTGTACATATAACTTTTATCGATAAAATCCATGTTTCGATCTGTCACATTGCTATTCAGAGTAATCGAGGTGTCGATAGAGTCTTTTTCGATATTATTTGCAGCGATTTTCATTAATTCACAAATCATGCCAAAATCGGCTTCAACACCTTTAATTTTGGACCAGTTCTTTGTCCATTCTTCATGATTTGTTGCGTTTCGACGGAATACGAATATTGAATCGATCTGTGGCAAATGATGAATGCGAGCAACAATACTTTGACCAAGTGATTCAGATGTCACCATCAATATTTTTGTGTCTTTTATTTTACATAAACAATTGACGCATCTTTCCGCATCCGTGAAAGTTTTCACATTATTCACAATACTCTGTATTTGACTAATTGATTCCACATAATATTGATGCGATGTGTTGATGTCTGAATCAAGCCAGATAGCAAGAATGTCTAAAACGATACAGGACTCAACGAACTAGCACAAAAGAGAAATACCGAAGTCATTTAGAAATGCTTTGTTTAAGTTCGTAAATCTATGTTGCTCTAGAGTCGAAATTCTGCTTCCTTATTATGAACTTCTAAAAATATTACTCACTCAGTGAAAAGTGTATTATTTTGATGCCCTCAAAAACTATGCAGCATGAAAAAATTTGGATGCCTTTTTCGATTATCATAAAGTCCATATTCAAAAGAATTTTTAAAGTTTATATCCCTGAAACGAAAGTGGCATTGTTATTCATTTCGATCATGAGACTACGTATTTTTGATAGAGATATATATCACTGCTACCTGATTTTGATGTTATGCTGATCATATTCATGACTGCTGGTAATGTTGCATTATTGTTGTCCGTTATTTCTACTAGATACACAACTTTTAGACCATCATTAAGTGTTAAATCATCACTTTCCACACTTAGCCGAGTGCCTGAACCGAGTAAGACTTCGTTTTCATCTGGATATTTTGTATAGCCACTTAGATTTCTACCGGTCACGGCTTCAATCATAAAGAGTGTAGAATTTTTATCGTTGCCGAGAAATTCTTTGATGACATCAAGTGTAGTTGAGCAAGAGCTCACACTTCGCCAAATTATTTCACTACCTTTAATAAAATTATTGTTGACATCATCCTTTGTACCACACCAAAGGCGTTTTTTCTCTTTGGGCAATTTTGTAAGTGCAATTTCGAATAACTTCAGATAATTAAACCATGGTGTCAACGCAGATGGATCTTCGGATCGCAAATCATTATTCAACGATCGATATAAACTATGAGCACCCCATTCCATGGTATAAAGATAAATTGAGGCTGATTCGTCATGTGTGAGGTCGTGTTCCGATGGAAAATGGCATTTTTCCAAAGCCTCCTTAACATATTGACGCAAATTATCAATACGAGGCACGATAGGTTCAAGAGCATTGTTAAGTGAAAGTAATGATTGATTTCGATAACCATAGTTTGGCGGAATTCTCTTCTTATTAAGATCAATATCGAGAAATCGACTCATTACGAGTTTTATATAGACTATACAGTTTCACTATCAGTCTTGTTAAAATGATATACGAGAGTTCACAAAACAATCGTATTTTTATGATGGCGTAATTTTCAATCGATGACGTTAAAAACGAATTATTAAATCGTTTAACCTACTGACTGGATCAGTTTTATTGCGAGACAAGACAAATGATCAATAGCTGATAAAGATTCAGAAAACCACTTTTATGATAACTGTGAAATTTGACTGCTTTTGGCGTATATTATGAAACGATACTAACGTTTTCGATGAACTTTAATATTGGCAATAACGATCACGTCAAAATTTTTCCAACAAGATCCTTTATTGATTTATACTTTACCTATAATATTTAATAGCAATAAATAGCAATTAATTTAATACAAGAGCCCTAGGTTGTTTTCTAGCAAGTAATGTCATCGGATGTTGATTCACTCGTCCTTAGACGGAGAGGCAATGAAGTATTTATTAACTATCTTAGTAGCATGGTAGCAAGAAAATTTTTTGCTGGTTACTTTTCTATTGAGTTACTAAATTCACTTCAAAGTCGAAATTTTATCCAAGTTACAATAGCGATGGACAGATTCCCAAAATTTTCCTATGGAAAAAATTAATTTTCACAAATTTCATCTTCATAGAAAGAAAATTTCGGAACTCGTCAACAATGGAGAAGTGAAATTTCCATTACTAATCTTGAAATGTTTAGACTGCTGTAGAATTCTATGAAAGCGATTTATTTTTTATTAAGAAAAACTGTTGACCCACACATATGAGAGGATTGCAAGGCATTTGTACAATTTGACTTCAACTTTTTATGAAAATTTCATTTTTCAATGGAATGATTTTATGTAGTGGGATAGATAATACTACTAAAGAAATAAAGGAGCCTAATGGTTGTCTCACTACCACCTACAAAGAGAGGCGAAGTTTCGAAAAATTAAGAAAACCTACCCGTCAAAAAAAGTTGATTTTTTGTGAAAAGCATGCAAATGGAGATAAATCCAGAAGAAGCTAGTTCAAGGTTGGATCTTTCAAAAATGGCATGATTTTTTATTTCGTACTTTGTTTCTTTTCAAAAGGTCCTGCCATTTTCTTGTGAGAAATATAATTTTTCTTCGATCCACGTATAAAGAACGTAGGAAAGCTTATTTTAACACGGATAAACTCGTCTTCATTGCTCGTCAAGGGTTTTTCACGTTTAATTCTATGAGCCTTTCAAACAGCTTTCGATTCATATAAGATGCATCTAGGTTCCTTTCTGTTTTAGCGGAAAAACATCGATTCTACTATCAAGAAAAAAACGTGACGGGACACTTGATAAGTATTTTGAAATTTTCTTCGAAGTAATAAAGAATTAGGAGTTCAAATTTGGAATATCTGTTCTATATTTAGCGGGCTACTTCTGTTGAAAATTATTCTGATAATGTTATAGTAGAACTTAAGATACATAAAAAACAAAGAAAAACGTGACGGGACATTTAGTGAGGAAGGCGCATTTTGAGATCTGAGCTTTTTCATTTTTGACCTAATAAAATATATTATAGATTACTTTCAGATCCGATCTTGTTTTCTTTTCTTCGGTCTACCTTTTGGCTATAATTGAGTAGAGGTTCATTCAACTTTCCATTCCAAAAGAAAACGGTTCACTGCGTGACGAGACATTTTTTACCAAAGTATGCGACCACGAACACTTCGAGCAAGTAAAAATAAAATAAGAGCAATTTGGCTAACTTAAACAACATATTTTCTTGCTAATCTTGCGTAGATACAAACAAATTAAAATAAATTTTCAAAACATGTTGTTAACAGAAAAAGAATAAGATTAACTTATCACCATTGAATATGTCCATGTGAAATGAAATTTCAGTGTAAAAGCGACATCATCTTCACGCCTTCTAGTGACAGACAAGAAGCTATTGTCGGCGCCAGAATTAAATAGGGGTGGGCATAAGCTCAATAACTCGACAACCGCAATAGCTAGCGACCTGCGGTTTTCGTCAATCGAAAGAGGAGGAGTTGGGACACCTTTTTCTCTGATAATGTATAAGACGAAAACCTTTTAAAACTAATCATATTCGAAAAGCATGCAAAAGAACCCATGAAAATGATCTGCCAGCTCGATNCCAATGTTTGTGTAAGACTCAGCTAAATGAGGATCGTTGATGACGGATTTCTTTTCGTATACTTCAATTGATTTTTGAAAATAAGAGATCGCTCCTGTGTAGTCACCCAGCTCGGTTTTTATCATTCCAAGTTGATGATAAAGATTCCATGTTTCAAAGTCATCACTAGTTTGGTTTAGTGGTATCACGCACCAAATAAATGCCTTTTCGAACTCACATATTTTTCTTAGTAAAGTACCCAATCGATGCCATTCTGTTGATCCATGGATTTCGTTTCTCATGAATTTGGTCAGAGAGCACCAATAGCCGTCGTTATGTTCCATCATTGTGAGTGTCACTAACCAAAATCGAGACGTTTGGTCTATTTGTTGGATTTGTTCAATTCGAAAAACACTGTGTGTGGTAAACAGTACTACTTCTTTACCTGAATGATAATGAAAATTTCGAATATTTGCAAACGGAGTCGATGAAATCGATAGATCGACAGTGATCATAAATAATACTCCAACAAATTTTTGGTTCTTGGCTGCCTGCTTAGCAGATAAAATAGAGATGTTACAATCTGGACTAGTTGATAAAAAGTAGTTGAACGAAAAAAGATTGCCTACACGTGATTTCAATTTTTGAAAGTCACTTCTTGATAGTCCTTGACCACGGTAGACAATCAATAATTTTTCTTTGCCTTCTTTAAACTGTTCGGAGTGAAGTTTTCTTAATTGTTCATGAAGATCACGAATAAAAAAGCCCAACTTGATGATCGCTTCAAAATCTAGAGTTTGCAAGGAGTCTTTAAGCATTGAGTGGAGGAAATGTGGCGCTGTATACCACCAGATAGGTGAATGTTGATGATATTCTTGTTGAAACTGTTCAATTTCCCACTCCTGTAATTCATTACCATGCGAGTCACAACAGTAGTCGACAAATTCTTGAATCGATCGTTCATCATGTTTCATAGCAATAAGACATTCTTTCAATAGAAGCGTGTACATGTAACTTTGATCAAGAAAATCCATATTTTGATCAGCCGCATTGCTATTCAAAATAATCGAGGTATCGACAGAGTCTTTTTCAAAATTTTTTGCAGCGATTTTCATTAATTCACAAATCATGCCAAAATCTGTTTGAACACCTTTAATTTTGAACCAGTTCTTTGCCCATTGTTCATATTTTGCTTTGTTTCGACAGAATACGAATATCGAATAGATTTGTGGCAAATGATGAATGCGAGCAACTATATTTTGAACAAGTGATCCAGATATCACCATCAAGATTTTTCTTTTTTTTATTTTACTTAAACAATTGACGAATGTTCTAGCATCAGTGAAAGTTTTCACATTATTCACAATACTCCGCATTTGACTAATTGATTTAGAATAATCTTGTTGTGATTCATTGATGTTTGAATCAAACCAGATAACCAGAAGATCTAAAACGATATAAGACTCAACGAACTAGCACAAAAGAAAAATGCCAAATTTATTTAGAAATGTTTCATTTAAGTTTGTAATTCTACTTAGGGTGTACCAAAAGTTCTGATCACGACGTTACATAGCCATATAGTAAGCTTAAAAAAAACTTTCTTTCTATATAGTCTAATAGAGAAAAGAGTGCTCTATTTTGCTATGCTATTTGATCATACTTCAAATAATAATA